TATAAATTTCTTTATATCTAATTTCTTGTATGTTCCCAATATCCTTATCGGACATGTATATCTAATCTCTCTTTTGTGTGTCTAATCTGGACCCGACATACATTTCCTGATAAACACCTTTCACCAAAAACCAAAAAGAAAATAGAAAATACAGAAAACCAAAAAACAAATGATACCTGATTGTCTTCAAAATGCAAATTTTAATGTTCTATTGAATATTCAATCCTCTTTTACCTTGATTGTTCGAAAGGCTACTGTCAATCTCACCCTCGTGTTAAAGAAGATTGAATAGGGGAAGTTGTTGTACCCAAAAATTTCCCCTCTTCATTTTAACCCTAATTGGCTTATACTTCATCATCACATTCATACATACATGTCATAGGGTCCATGCTCAGGGGATCAAGGCTTTTCTCTATGAAAAGGGTTGTGAAAGACAAATGTTTTGTTACGCAGCTGTGAAGCAAACTCGGTGTTTTCAGATTTTAAATGCACTATGCATGTGTTGCAAGCTATCCAATCAGGGACTAATCAAGTCAACATCTCTTCTCTGATTGCAAGTTCCGACCAGCTCCTCTTGGCTTGCTCCGATTTCCATCTTTCGATTCCAATTCGGTAATAATTCTTGCTTTTATTTCTTGACTTAGTTGTTTCATGAATTTTGATTGATGTTTTTTTTAGTTAATCTATCAATTTGTTCATGAGTTGAGTGTTTGGATCTTGAATTAATTGATAATGATGTTGAAGTGTGGAATTGGTTAATTGATGTTTCAATCGGTTTAGGTCTTGATTTAATCGGTAAATTGATGTTGACTTTTGAATACCAAATTTTGGATCTAAACATTTGATTATGGAATTTTGATGAGAATGGATGTGAATTTCATGTGTTAATTCAATTTCGGATCAATTTGATGGTGAATAAATTTTTTCGACGTTAAAATGCTTCGATCTGGGTAATTGCATCAACACTTGAAATAATTGATTTAAGGCATGGAATCATTGATTAAATGCAGATTTATTTGTTTGCAAGTATTTGTAATTTCTAAATGACATAACTTGAATCGGTAAAGGCTTTTGTGCCTCCGTTCGTGAGTTTCAAATCCGATTTTTACCAATACCAATTCATGCACGTGTTACTGCCCGGAAAATACAAATGCATTACAAAGGACTTTTCAAATGTTGTTTGAAGCTTATTCGTACATAATTGTATGTTTATGGACCGTTGGTGTTGAATTATATCGTTTTGGACACGATTTTTTGGATGATTTTGTGATACGGTGCAATGCTGCCTGATTTCGGTAAGTTGAGCTTAAGGCACGATTTAATTGATGGTTAATGCTCAAGGGACTTTATTTTTGTACTTGAACGGAAATTATGTCAAGCTTTATCGATTTTGGACCGATATTTCGTGTGGTTCATGTATTAACGGTAATGCTTCCCGGTTTGATAAGTTGGCGCAAACGTGCAATTTAATTATTGTTTTGTGGATAAGTGAACTTGCCTTGGTTTTTGTTTTGGATTGGTATCAAGTTTGCTCGATTTCGAATCGATATTTTATGCGGTTTATGAGATAGCAACAATGTTGCCCGGTTTCTAACGTTGATACTCCAATGCTTGTTTGGATCGTGTTTCTTCGCATTTTAATCATGATTTAATTAGTGATGCAGATACTTGATTTTTATTATGTTGTCTTATTAATTGCTAACTCGTTTTTTGACTTGTGCAATTTTCTGAAGACTTGGTCGTGAGACACGCGAGGTTTGGATTATTATTTGGTTGTATAGACTTGTCTTGTACAGGGACTTTGACTTGATGGGATGGATTTTCCACATGCGAATTATTTTCTCATTTGCGATATGGATTTTGATATTGGATGTTATTTCTGATTGTTTCTCTGTTGCTTGGTGAAGCTTACACGAAGTTTTTGGGGTTTCTCTACTTTGCTTGCTACGAACTCTTGTTCGTTTGGTATTATTCTGTTTCTGGTTTATTTTTCTGCATCATTTACCACTTTCTTTGCCATGAGAAGTAGGAATAGACATGCATGACTGGGAGTCCCTACTTTAGGTGGGCAAATCTGTTTAAAGTCCTCAAAGGAAGCGATGTTTGTTTTGTAAAGTCCTCAAAATGAGGTCATGTTTGTGTTTACTTGTGTGTAAAATACCTCTACGAAGGAAAACCCCACTCCTCTCTCATTTCCCTTTTATTTTGTGCTTGCTATCGAGTCAATAAATGGAACAAAGAGTCCATAATTTTAGTTCATGTTGTTCTTAGCTCGCGTCATGTGTTGATGCTTTGAACTGTGCCTATTCTTGTCTATTGAGTCAAATAAAATGGAAAAGGGTTCGTAAACAACCCCCACACTTTGTCATTCATTCCAACGATGTTAGCTCATGTTTCTTCAAACGTTGATGCTCCGAGTTGTTACTTGATGTCGGTGCTCGAGAAAATCAAGTGGAAAGAGTTCCTTACTCCTACTTTGAAATCCATTGGATTCGTTGATTGTTGCTAGCTCGCACTCGATTTTGCTTCGGCTTCGGCTCGATGTTGTTTGTTTGCACTTGTGTTTGTGATTTTCTTTACATCTCTGTATGTTTCCTTAGAATTCGCTTGTTTCGTTACTGATGCAAGTTAGACATTAGGATCTTGATTCATGCATGCTAGCATAGCTAGAGATTTTCCTTTCAAACTCAACTATATGGCCATCATTGTATGATAACATTAGGGATAGAGCTAGATAATTCTCCTTAGATGTTTTTCTTTTCCTTTTGCATGTTTAAGACTAAAACTCTTTTCTTGACAAATGCATAAAAAACCCTAATCTTCTCAAACCCTTTTTCAAGGTAAAAAAACATCAATCAATCCAAACTATTTTCGCCTTCGGGCCTTTCTTTGAAACTTTCAAAAGGATATGTTAATTCTACTCTATATAATACGACGCGTAAATCCCCAAAGATCGAGTGACACCATGTCTACTTGCTAGAGCACGAATGTAGCATTATCCGCCTTCGGGCACTTCTCTTTTGAAAATACCTTTTCAGGTAAGAACAAGTTAATTCATTCTTATGCCAACGTGTAAGTCTCCAAAGGTCGAGTTGCAGTAGGAAGCAAAATTAATATTGTTCATAAAACATACAAAACAAACGGAAACTTTTGAGCCAAACTACAGCGCTCTGATTCCTTAAAAGGGATACGTAGGCATTTGGTCGCGGAGCCTAAGCGAGCAAAACTTTGTAAATATTCCTTTTTTTCTCCATGTTTTCTTTTGCATGCATTTTTCCTTAGCTCGCAAGCTTTAGATTTAGAGATTTGAACTCACCATTTGATTAGAACAACACGAGTGGATCCCGTAGAGTACCACAGACGTGAGGGGTGCTAATACATTCTCGTTGTGTAATCGACTCTCTTACACGTATCTCTCGATCGCAAGATCTTGATTTCTCCCTTCTCAAATTTACTCGATGTTTATCTTTTTCTTCCCGTGGAATAAAAAATGTTCGATGACGACTTCATTAATTTTCTCTCGATGATTGTTCGATCGGTTGTTTCATCTGTTATAGAATGTGGGGACTCACACTTGTGGTGGAGAATGTTAGGTGCAAGTCTGTGGTTAAAGTCTCACATTGTCTAGATACAAGTGTGAGTGATTAAAGTCGCTGAACATTAATCTCATTGGTGTTCCTGATTTTTCTAAACTCCCCAACAATCTCTGTGCATATTAAAAAAATCTTTAAAAAACCATTTAAATACCTCGACACCCATTTCAAAGCTTTCCAATAAACTTGACCAGAATTTAACATAAATCAATTTACTATGCTAATTGCATGTAGTCTACTACAAACCATATCACGCACTATACTTCCAATCTCACTTACATAGAAATTACTAGTATCACACACTATACTTCCAATCTCACTTACATAGAAATTACTAGTATCAATCGCATGAGATTTTTCAGATTTTGAGCGACACATCCACGATATTTATTTAAATTCATAACGCATGACATAGATATCAACCAAACTTAGGTACACATAATCAATTCAATAGAGATGAGTACCTGAAATATTAAATAATCTTGCCGTGACGTAATTGTGAACACCAGTAATATTTAAAGAGAGAAAAAAGGACAGGATAAAGAAATCCAATGAGAAATAGCCCATATTCTTCTTTTTATTTCTTAAATATATGGCACACATTCTAACCTTTGTGTGTTCTGCAAGCACACTAAAGCAACATCGTTGTCAAATATTAAAACCTCAGCTTTTTTTTCTTCAATAAGACATATTCCAAAGATGTTGACCATCACAAAGAAGAAACTCTCCAATAATCTAGGGAGGGCTCAGAGATATCAATCAAGTTTCATGGACACAGTTTCTCTCATCTTCATATCTTCATGAAAGCTTCTTGTTCTTAGCCCAGATCACTTTTTCAGGTCCTTTCCTTTATCTCTTTCCCTTGCAAATTCTACTTTTAGTTTATTATTATTGATTAAATTCACATAATATATATGTTTGACATATATTTTGGTTTTTTTTATTTATTTAGCTTATTTATTTTTTTCATGTTTGACATATATTTTGGATTCAAACATGCACCACTACCAACAGAACGGTTTTAACATATTTTTTTAGCACAACTATTTCGAATAAAATTTATTTTTCTCAATATGTCCGCCTAGTGCTACTCAAGTAAGAGAGGACCAGTGAGTGACCACAAGAGTTAAAAAAAAAAACTATATTTTTATGCGACATGTTCATCTAAACAAAAAGAATGATGAATGTTTTAACAAAAGAAGAAGATAGATTGATGCATTTATATTTGCACGCATTGTTTGGACCAGTCCTTAATTCATCTACTGCATATTTCTCCAACCACCACCGAAATTTTAAATGACACTATTTATGTAGAAACGAATAATTAATTGTGTTTTTTGTTGAATATTGGACAGTGTGTATATATATATGTTGGTTATCTTGAGAGTTGTGTGAGAAAATCAACATATGGCATATTCAAGAGATGGTGAAGAGCTGAGTCCAGCTGGAAGGTTGTTTCATTCACCATCCTTTAACTGTTATGTGATTGCCATCCTTGGTTGCAAGACAAACATGAATGTTCAAGTTATTAAAGAAGGTTTATGTCACACTCTTCTTAAGCATCCTAGGTTCACCAGCATACCTGTAAGCCACACACTATTCAACCCTTTTCGTTTGATGGTACTTTTTGGCGTATAGTTTTTATGTTTCTCACAAGGCCATGTGTTTTAGTTTTCATGTTTGAATTTCAGGTTAAGAAAGGAAGAAAAACAAGATGGACAAAAACAACAATTGACTTAGACAACCACATCATAGTACCACAAATAGATTCCAAACCAGACCACCCAGATAGATTTGTTGAGGACTACATTTCAAATTTTACCAAAACACCACTAGACATATCCAAACCACTATGGGAACTTCACCTCCTGAACATCAAAACCTCAACTGCAGAATCAGTTGGAATATTCAGAATCCACCATTCACTTGGTGACGGTACGTCTCTAATATCATTACTCATTGCATGTACTCGAAAAACCTCTGACCCTAATGCATTACCAACGGTCCCTACAACAAATAAGAAAAATGTGTCTGTCTCAAATGCGCGCAAATGCTCAACTCTTGTCTCGTTTTGGATGAGTGTTTTGTCCGGGTTTAGTCTGATTTGGAACACTATTGTAGATGTTTTGTTTCTTGTCTTAACCATTTTGTTCCTTAAGGACACACATACTCCTTTAAAAGGCTCACATGGGGTTGAGCTCAATACCAAGAAATTTGTTCATCGGACAGTTAGTATGGATGACATTAAACTCGTCAAGACTGAAATGAAAACGGTAATATCATCATCTTTCTCATTTGTGCTTTGATTAATGTATGTGTCTACTTAATCATATGATAAATGTTGTTTAACTAGACCATCAATGATGTTGTGTTGGGGTTAGCACAAGCTGGTATCACTCGTTACTTGGATCGAGAATATGGTAAGACTAAATATATCAGTTAGTTATTCGAAGAAAAAAAATATTTACTTATAATAGTGACCAGAGTAGTCCTTATTTATGTATCCTCTGCTTAGGTGTGGAACATAAAAATGATAATACCACAACGCGGAGAAAAAGTAATATCCCCAACAACATTCGCCTCCGGGCTTCGATTCTTATTAACATTAGACCTTCTCCCGGAATTCAGGTAAATTTGGTTTCTAAAATAGTTAGAATTAATGAATCATTGTTTGTGTTTGATTAACTCATAGACTATGTTAATTAGGATTTAGCAGATATGATGGCTGAGAAAGGAAAAGCCAAATGGGGTAACAAAATGGGATACGTAACTTGTCCTTTTAATACTACCTTACAAGAAGATCCATTGGAATATGTTCGTCAAGCTAAGGCCACAATTGACAGAAAAAAACACTCATTGGAAGCTATTTGCTCTTATGCTTGTGCAAAATTGGCTCTCAATTTATTTGGAGCTAAGGTATACATATCTTCACAATAGTCTGATTTTGGTCTAACGGTCATCGATGTGGTGATTGATGATTGCGTGTAACCTTAATTCGTGTATCATTGTTGGAAAAAAATTTGGATCCGTAAACAAAGTGATAATGATCACTAAAAACTCACACATACAACCGTGAGTACCAGGGTGAACCCTGGTGATGGTGTTCAACCTAACCATATCAGTTTCTGCTAGTTGAATTAGGATTTGCAAACTTGTTAATTTTTTTAACATTTAGGGTTTGTATACAGGTTGCTGGTGCTATAACAAGAAGAGTTTTAGTTCACACTACTATAGCCTTTTCTAATGTGGCTGGTCCAGTGGAAGAAATTAGCTTTTATGGACATCCTGTTGCATACATTGTTCCAAGTGTATATGGACATCCACATGTAAGCATCATCATTGTTTTGGGGGTGTAAATAGGAAGTGATTTAATCAATAACTTTAGTGTCACTCTAATATGTCTGTTTATTTTGCAGGCACTAACCATTCACTTTCAAAGTTATGCTAATCAGATGACAATTTCTCTGGCAGTGGATCCAACCATCATTCCAAATCCTTACCTCCTATGTGATGATTTAGAAGAATCACTCAAACTCATTTGTGATAATGTTGTTAAGAAAAAGCACATTGCTGAAATTATTTAAAATTAGAGAATTTAATTACAGGCTCTTAGAAAACTTTTACAAAATCATGAGTTATTATTTTAATATAGTATCAGACACTAAAATCATCAAATTACTTCAAAATTAACTTAATGAGTTATTTACAGATCTTATAATTTTTATTAGTTATATTTCTGTTTCAATATTTTATCTACACCCCTGTTCTAATATTGATAGAGAGACTCAAACTAAGACTCGTAATATTCATGTTCCAATTTTTTTATAAATATATGTTCTAATCTGCAACGACATTGTTGTTCCTGTTCAAACACAATTTAAATTGATTGAATGATCTTCTTGATTCATAACAATGTGGATTTACAATAGAGTGAATTTCGTCGTCGATGCCACAAAAGTTGGATAAACCATAAATCTCTTGATGATTGTTTCCATTTCCTCTTTAGAACTATACACAAATATTTAAGAGAAAAGAGAAAGCGGAACTAAATTTGTGTGTATTGCACTCGACATTTACATTTACTTATGGTATTGTTGTGTACATTCACTATTGAACTGATGATGGTTATATACAAAAACTAATTGAGCTCAAGGTTCAACAACCTAATCAACTTAGTTATTTAGTTAGTTACTTGAATAACAAGTAATTTAACTAACACTTTCTAGATTTGAATTTCACTTCAACACTCCCTCTTAATTCTAGTTTTCCATGTAGCCGTCAAGTTTAGGAAACAAGATGTCATGTCTACTGTACTTTTAAGATATCTCATGATCCTCTTGACTCTTTGTATATGTGACAATTTAGGTTTCTACACAATTCTATTCCCCACAACTACATTGTGACATATATCGAGCCTGGAGTTAAAAGCATGCATCAAACATCCTATAGAGTGCTATCAACAAGGTGGATTTTGAGAGTAACTTAGGCCTCTAAAGTCAGTTATATCAAATTCAATACCCATGTTGAATTTGAGATTCTCGATCTCGTTGTGATTGCTTCCTGTAATGAGTAGATCATCCACGTATAGATACATTATGTTGATATTTTTCATATTCACGCATTTGACATATATTCCATATTCAAGTGTATATTTGGAATAACTAAACTGCTTCGTGAATTCACCAACCCTCTTGTCCTAGACTCTTGGAGCTTGTTTCAGACTATAAAAAGACTCATTAATCTTCAATATTTTATCTTCTTCACTTTTCATAATGAATATCTGAGATTGTTCTACATAAACTTCCTCTTCAAAGAATCCATTAATAAATGCAAACTTAACATCTAGTTGAACAAAATTCCATTTCATGAAGTTAGCCATACCTACCACTAATCAGATTGTCTCAACTTTTGTAACTTTTGCAAAATGTTTTGTTAAGTCAAGGCTAGAATTTTGTAAGAATCCATTTGGAACAAGGTTTACCTTATGTTTGGCCATGGAACAAAGTTGATAATTGAGAAGAAAGAGTAATCACATTCACTTACATCACACTGATCACATTACACGAGTGTATATGAATATGACTTGCACTATAAGGCACCAACTAATTACTTTTTCCTAATTGTCATGTAACTAACTGTTAATAACAAAATTCGTAACTCAAAACTAACTGTAACTTGCATTACCTGCCAACATGTTACTCAGTTATTTCAACTTGACCTGTCAAACAATATGCTAGAAGGAGGCATTCCTACTAGTATTGGAAATTGCCAAATGTTACAATACTTGGACATGTCAAATAACCACCTCAGTGGAACCATTCCTCGGCAAGTCATTGGTCTTCCATCTTTGTCATTGTTACTCAATCTATCCCATAATTCATTCAGTGAAATCTATCCCATTTCTGTATAGAGGCTTTATGGATATCAAGAAAAAGGAATTGTAAATGTCAAAATAAAGTCAATCAATGTAAAGAAACTAAAAATTGCTGAATCAAAACTTTGTTTTACTTTCATGTTCAAACCTTCCATGAATTCATATGTGGTTTGCTCGCCTTTGTTTGGGAATATCATTGTCCATGCTTGCCAGGATGGCCGGGAAGTAAAGTTGTGGTGGAAAGGTTTTGGAATGAAGCGAAATTGAAGTTTAATTGTGAATTTTTCACTTTTAATGTTGATAAGGTCATTAAAGAATGATACTTCCCTCACCGAATATCAAATTGTTCTCTTTCCTATTTTTGTTTGTCTAAAATTATTTGTCAATTTAGAATATCAATGTGATATTTATTATTTTTTTACATTAATTTATTATTATTTATTGTATTTTAATTCATATAATATAAGTAATTTACTATATATTATTAATAAGGTTATTTTAGTAAATGAGACTCATTTTATCATTAAAATCAACATAATTAATCATTATCTTAAAAAGCGTGAAAATCTCAAAAATGACAGATATTGTGAGACAGAGAGAGTATATTACAAATTTTAGGTTTTAGCATATGATCGAAAAATTACTACCTCCTTAGATAATTAGCAACCGAGGAAAAAGGTCCAACTTCCCGAATACCACATGTTGTACCCCAAAATTTGCCCTCCTCTTTTTCCACAAGAAATCACAACTTCGGGTTTTCCCTGACTTTTTCAGATTGGCGTAAGAATCAGTCAAACAGACTTTTTCTTATCAGTCTATCCAATTTAGGGTTTTCATGGACTTTTGAAGCAGTTCAAGCAGATTGCTAGGGTTTGGTTGAGTTTGGCTCAAAGTTTGGTCAGACAGGCATTTCTTTGGTGTTAAGTCAAGAACTAGGGTTTTGTGCGCGCATTCTCAGAAAGAATTAATTCTACAGTTCTTTTCAAATTTACTCTGAGATTTGAATTAAGGCATTTGGATTGAGAGTTTGCAGTGTTTGATTTAATCAGTAAAAGGAAAACCATGTGGACGTTTGTTTGATTGACTATGCAATGTTTTGGATTATTCGGAACGCCGGACGTTTATTAATTATTTCTTTTTCTAAGTCAAAATAATTGGATTTACTTCCAGTTGTTTTAATTTAAGAAACTCAAATAATTAAATAAACAATTGAAGAGAAATAAAAGAGAATTAACTGATCAAAAAAGGATTTTTTTATTCATCTTTAATTGTTTTGTTACAAATTATTATTTGAACAACTGTAAATTTATTTACATCTTTGTTTACAATGATAATGTTACAAATAATTGAAATGAAATAAAATTGCATCCTAAGTATTATAAATCTTCATCTTCTACCGACGCTCCCCATTGCTCAATTATTTTTTACTTTCAAAAAGAAGAAAAAGAAAGTCAAATGGAGATGAAATAATCAAAGAAGTAGACAGTTAATTATAAGGCTCATCATTAAAAGTAACTGGCCGGAATCAGTTTGTTTGCCCTCTCTGCAAATCACAAGATTGCTCTTGGTTCACAAAGAGGGATAGAAATATGTTTGCAAAAGTATGAAATGCACAAAGCTACAATTGCACAAATTCAAATATCAAACAGGCTGCATGAAATGCCAAACAAACTATAAAGTCCAAACTGAACTGCCTAACCAAATCAAAAAGGCAAACTGAATGTCAAAGCAAACTGTCCACAAGCTGCCAAAAAGATATCAAAGCTGTCAAAACTGTCAACAAAGTACACAAGAAGATATGCAGGAAATCTGGAAAGTGTGCAGAGGAAGGATATAAATGCAAGCAAGCAATATTCAAATAACATCACTTTCCAAGGCCAGTACTTTTTCGGAAAGACAGTTTTAAGCAATATAAAAATGCTTTAATCTGTAAAGAGAGAGAAGAGAGAGAAAGAGGGCTTACAGCAGGTTTAGGCTTAGAAAGAATATAAAACAAAAGAGATACCATTACAAAGAAAGGGGCAGAAAATAACACAAAGCAAAAAAGCCACAAACTGATATAGAGCAAACAGCCTGCCTCCATAAGCTTCAAACACTTCAAAACCTGTTTCAACACCAAGCTCACTACAAACTGAAGCCTTAACCTGCTTGAGTCATAAGCACAGGCCTTAAGCCAAGACCTATTTCATCAATACAAGCAGCTAGCCTCAAACAGAAGCCTAAACCTGCATTAAACCTGAAGCTTGTAAACCTGTCCAAGCACAAACCAGAAGCACATCAAGCTTCAAGCCTAACCTGCATCAAAGCCATACCAAAAACAACCTGTCCAAGCCTGTAACCATTCAAAGCTATCCAAACCGATACAAGCCTGTACCAGAATCTAAGCACACAAGCATTCAAGGCAAGCTCAGGATCCCACAAACCAAAATCAAAATAACCAACTGAAGCAACAAAAGCCCTCAGAGATAACCTCATCATAGGGTTAGCAAATCAAAGACATCAAAATCGTCCAGAACATCATACAAAGCCAGCAATAAACATACAGAAGCAAGTGTTGCAGAAGCAAGTGTTGCAGAAGCAAGTGTTTCAGGGGCAAGCATTCAGGCAGGAAAAAGAGGAACAAGAAGTAACTCAAATCAAACACTGAAGTATCATAACCAACAAAAACCCTCAGAATGATTTCATCATAGGGTTAGGGCAACAATACTCAAAAACCAACATTTCAACTAGCAATCAGAGCAAGCAACAGAAGAAGAGGAAAAGAAGTGTTCAGGGACGAATGAACTAGGTTTTCAGAAAAGTACCTTCATCATCAAACCAAAAAGCAAATACAAAATACCAGTTTTCCAGAGCAAGCTAGCATCACGCGTTCCCTCCGCCCGGCCGTCCTAGGGCGCCTCCGATCCGCCTCTCCTCCTCTCCAAGCAACGAGCCAACGAAGGTACAATTTTTCTTCCCATTTTCTTTAAACGCCTCATACGACATGAATAAACAAAGAAGTATCAGAACACGTTAGAAGAGGAATCAATAATACATGAAAATCCAAATCCCTAAAATACAAAAACAAAAGCATAAGAGGAGATCGCTACCTTTTTCTGTCACCGCTTGAACAAACGTTGAGAGAGGGAGTCGGAAGTGGCGTCCGGTGGCCAGGCATGGAGGCGTTCAGAAAGCTCAGGCGAAGGAAGAGAAGAAGATGCACGGCGCAGT